ACGGGCTATTCATGCCCGTGCCACCTTTTGGGTGGCTTAAACTTCATCAATCAATCTCATATTGAGAGAAAATGGTTTATTTTCTCTCACAAGTTACAGCCCCGCTCCTGTGCCAGGTAAGTCCACTACGGGCTCATCATAGCCCGTGCTACTTGAAACTTCTTGTTCCAAATAGCGAATCTTAAACAACAGCAACATCTCATATTTTAGGCTAGATTACGTTAGGGTAAGACGAGATCGCAAAGGATAAAATAGAATAGGAGAGGGTGGGATGGGTTAGGTTAGATTTGGCGTGTTTAAGGAAAAGCGATGACGTAAAAGCGTACATACTCTTCTCAGATTTTAAACCCTACTCTTATCACGGGCCACTTTCAACGTCACAACGGGTGTGTGACTTCTGTAACCCGCTCAATGATTCATTGCGAAAAAATAGAAAACAAAATCTCCATTTGCTTTTATTTAGATGGGGAGGGGGGGAATCCTGCCTTTTTGGCAGAATGAGAAGCTTTTGCAAAGACAATGGCAGTAGACGTCATTAAACTGCAATAGACGTCACCAGAGATCACGACAATGGATGTCACTTTATATCTAGGGTGCTCGTGGGCAGCAGCTGCCGCCATTAGTGAACCAGCTGTACTGCACGTCACAATGCAGGTATTATTGCAACTGAGCTGTGACGTGTGGTGGTTAGAGCAGAGAGAGGTGTTTACAATGTGCAGGCGTACTCTAGCAAGTGACGGGGGTGCAGGCGTACTTTAGGAAGTGACAGGGGGGAGGCGCACTCTAGGCGTAAAGTCAAAATCAATAAATCAAGGAAGTCAAAATCAATAAGTCGGGCCATTAGTTTTATTACAAATTTAAAATAGTTAACATCCTTCTTAACAGAAACAAATAAATATGTTAACTCTACAAGAGTGGTAATCAGTGTAAATACTTGATACTAATGAGTATTCACAGGATTTTTTGTTTAGTTAATTTTTCGAGAAAGTTGTAATTTTACTTACATTATACGTGTGTGTGTGTGTGTGTGTGTGTGTGTGTGTGTGTGTGTGTGTGTGTGTGTGTGTGTATATATATATATATATATATATATATATATATATATATATATATATATATATATATATATATATATATATATATATATATATATATATATATATTATATATATAAATAATATATATATACATAGTATATATATAAATAGAAGTAGTTCAGGACGTTCCAAAATTCTATCTAATCCCATTGTAAACCCCAAGCCTCCTCCAGAAGCCTCGCCCGGAAGCCTCTTCTAGAATCCTATGCGTCTCAACTCAAGTCTTTCCTTCCAGTAGAGACAGTTAATTCAATTATTGATTTTCAAAGTAAAGGAAGTCGTCGTATTTGACTAATGTGTAGAGTATATCTTCCATAGAAAATTTCGTTGCCCTTTACCTCAAGTAAGGACTGAAAACGACATTTTTTTTATAGTATTCATAGCTATTAGTTTCGTTTTGTATTTAATTATATTGTACTTTTGTGCAGTGACCTCTGGTCCAAGGTGAGCATCTTTAAAACTGCTTTGTTCGGTAGTTCAAAGATTAATGAATGCGAGATACAAATCCTTAATTTATAAGTAACCAAAAATTATAGTATCTATAGTTACTATGTATGGAAGTACAAAATATGGAATCTTGCACACACCCTTCCCCCCCCCCCCCCCCCCCCTTCGCACAAAATTTAAGTATCTTAAGTATTCAATTAGGCCGAAGATTGCGCATATTAAGCCTAGGATAGATTAAGTTAGGTTTGTGGTCACTCTTTTTCCCAATAGTACAAAACATGACCTTTTGGATACAAAGGATCATATTTTCTTCATTCCATCCATTGTAGTTATAGTATCCAAGGCAGCCTCCGAATATCACTCTCGCCCATTTTCTATGTAACAAGATGTCAAGGCATCACAAGCTCATTGAGCAACCCGTCCTCTTACAAAAAACGTCGCATTTCGATCGTATGCGTTACATAAGGCCAAAAATAGTCGTACTAGAAAATGGAAGCGGCTGGCGAAAGTGAAATACTGTCCCGTTTTCTGTTTTGGGTCCTCTGGTAGGTTAGGAGACCACACACTTTAAATTGATCGTTTTCTTGACACTGGGGAAACCTTAGGAGGACGAACTGCATTGCGCTGTTGGTCTACCCCGGGTAAACTTCATTATTTTTATTTCATGACCTTGAGAGAACTTCCAGGACTCGTTACTAGTCAAACTGAAATTGAACAAGACTCTTTAGTTCAAAGACTTACAAAGAACTAATGAGCACTAGCAGTATGACAAAGTCAAGTGTCGAGAAACTGATCATTAACAGTTTACTTAAATTCATGAACGCCAATGACATGTTGACTAATCCACACACTAGAAAATGAAGGGACGACGACGTTTCGATCCGTCCTGATGCATTCTCAAGTCGATTGTGAATGGTCCAGGACGGACCGAAACGTCGTCGTCCCTTCACTTTCTAGTGTGTGGTTTGCTCAACATACTTCAGCCACGTTATTGTGACTCCTCCTCTGCCAATGACATGTTTTCCATCTATCCAAATCTGTCCACATTGTACCACTTTTCTGACGTTACCAATAATTTATGCAGTTACAGAACGATCCTTTAGTCAGCTGAAACACACACAAACACCCACCTTCGTGCTATACATTGTCTGGGTTATCTTTGCTCTCCAATTTAAATTTCGTTATTATGCACCCCATACCCATCCCGTGGGCGGTGGTGTAAAGGATTACAGAGGCACATAATCGGTTCAGGAACTGAACCCTCTAGTTCGTTTAGCTAAGCAAATAACAATCTTTTGATGCTCTCCATTGAAATAATTGGCTACCGAGGCGGATTATAATGAAGTAATATATCAATTTTCTAGAATGAAGCCTAGCCGAGAGGCATGGTTCTTTTGTACATATTTCACATTGCGTAGTTTTGTTTTTATTTTACGTTTAAAATTTAAGTACAAACGTGTTAATTACGTTTAGAGATTCATGAGCTTACTATAAAACATTTTAGATACAATATAACAATGATGTACTTCCTGTAATACTGTATCTTCCTTGTGTTTGGACTTTAAACACAAAGTAAAATGTATAACGAGTATAAAATAATCCAGTATGCGTCATGAGGACTTATTTTTTGTTTTCTAGCTCCCTCCCTAACTTTAGAACCCGGTTACGCGCCTGCCTGAGGCTACCTGACATGCGGGTGCTGGCGGCCTACACGAATAATTCATCTTATTTTCACGTCAAAATCCCGAATGGACAAAATACAGACTACTGGGAATCATAGCGGCTCTCAAACAATCATCGTTAGAACCTGTTCGGGTTGATGGGATACGCTCGAGCGATTTAGTACACCGTTTTATGACCGTTGTGGTAACTCTAGAGGACGGGCTGGTTAGTGCAAGACGCTCCGGACACTATGCTGGCGCCCTGCCAGAGACAGTGATAGTGACCTTGCTCGAGCTAACTCACGGGAAACTAATTCTTTCTGATATTCCATTTTAACTTCAGAACATCATGCTAAAGCTTCCAGAAACAAGTATTATCATAAGAACAGACGGACATTAGTCAGCTATGAACACATCCCAAAATATTCAAAGGCTGAAAAGAAACTTAGTCCAGTGGAATAGCGAGTAGTCAATGACAAAGCTGGCGGCATGGGAGACATCTCCCGTCACGCAGGGTGCAGTCGCACCTCCACAGATCTCCAGTACCATCTATTGATACTGGTAATGGCTCAAAAGGGCCACCACTTAGGGGCTATTCATGCCCGTGCCACCTCTTGGGTGGCTTAATTTTTATCAATCAATCAATCAAAGCTGGCGGGTTTAGACGAGACTTGATAACATCGGGGCGTATGTAGTAGAGAAGACTATACCCTACTGAAACAGTTGTAGCTTGGTAACTAGTAATTGTTATAAAACCACACATTTTATTAGCTAATTGAATGCATTATTTAACAAATTATTTTGTTACTGTCAAACAACGATTCCCTTCGCCTTTTAGTGAGGCGGTAGAGTGTAACATGTTTGTGTTGAGTATTGTGAGCGGCTTCAAACAATGGGCAGCAAATTTTTAGTAACTCAGATTAAAATATCCGTCAGCAGTCATCAGGGGCCAGATTCACAAAGCAGTTACGCAAATACTTACGAACTTGTACATCTTTTCTCAATCTTTGGCGGCTTTGTTTACAATTATTAAACAGTTATGAGCTCCGAAGCACCAGGAGGCTGTTTATAACAATAACAACAGTTGATTGGCAAGTTTTCATGCTTGTGAACTGTTTAATAAATGTAACCAAAGCCGTCAAAGATTAAGGAAAGATGTACACGTCCGTAAGTGCTTGCGTAACTGCTTCGTAAATCTAGCCCCAGGTCTGAAATAATCAATAGACTCAGATCAGTGACCAAGAGACAACCATCAGTGTGTTACTCCATTACAGTAACATTCACTGCTTACCACTACGTTATTATTACATTACACGTGTACACAACACTGAACTAGACAACTGCGCGGTGTTAAGAGGGATGCGTCTATGACCAGCCTATACTACAACAACGTTTATCTACCTCGCACAATGCATCCAGGTCGCTATATCAAATAATATTCTATTAATTTGTTATGTGAAACTCGGGCTGTGTAAAAAAAAACTTTGGAAAACCATTCCGAGGAAAGTGTTCATATAGAAAGAAAACACGTGAGATCATTTGCCAGTTGCGGACCTGGATGGATGTTTTGCGGTCTAATGACTACTGCCTGGTGCAAGCTGCTAGTCGTGAGCATGACTAGGAACTACATATTGGTGCAGGGAGAAGACGTGGGGTGCTGGGTAGAGCTGGGTGGTGCTGGGAGTGCTGGTCGGTGCTGGGAGTGCTGGGTGAAGAGGGAGGTGCAGGGAGAGGAGTGCTGGTGCCACGCATCACATCAACATCGGCCCAAGTGGTCTCAGAAGGCCGAACTGACCTCGTGTTCGGTGTCAGGTCGAGCTTGGGGTGTGGGCGTGGCGGTGGCGGAGGGGAACATGAGGGCGTCCAGTTGCTGGGCGCGGTTTGTAATGTGCTGAATCCGCTCGCTGATGGACTCCTGGGCCAGCAGGTTCTCGTTGTGTTCCCTCAAGCTGCAACACAAGGTCCCACATTAGCCTTCACACTCGCTAAATGCTATATAATGTACACAAAGCAATAATTTATTGATCACATTAAACAAATCATAAACGTGAAAAATAAACTACACAGCACAGTTTTAATAATTTTAATCCTGATTTCATTTCCATTAATAATCTATTAAAACTTATGGTGCGACGCGCTTATCTTCACGTTTATCTTGGCCTACTACAGGTCAGTAATAATACTTTTCTAAGTATAGTTCACTGCTAAACTTTCATGGTAACTGGTACACGACTGACGACACTAAAGACATGACGCTCACAATAATCAAAAATACCTGTCGAAATACATTTAGCAGAAATAAATGAAAGCTATTCTAACATTTTTCCTTAACAAACGTTGGAGTGAAACGAGTTCCATGTAATTACTAACCTGAAGGTGTGTGCATGAATGTGCTTGGCTATCTGTGCCTACGGAGAGCGAGATCTAGCTCTTGTGTCCGCCTCCCAGCTACTGGGTAGGTGGTGCATTAACCCCAGCCGTGTCTAGTTCATTGCACTTACCTACTACCTGCTCTGCATAGAACACTTTGAAGGCGGAGGCAAGACAATGTGTATAAATGTATTAAAAAACTAATTTAAATATGTTTATACATATATTGGTGGAGAGAGAGAGAGAGAGAGAGAGATGGTTTCAGGCATAAATCTGTGTATTTATGTTTTTTTTTTAGATAAGCACTTTAAACTCACTACAATCATCTTCTGTGATTGCTCAATAAATCACTGAACTATATGTTTAACAGATCTCTAACCCTATCCATGGAGGATAGCAGAAAATGTATACATGTTGGTTAGCATTGTAAATGTGTAAATGTCTGTGGTAGAAAAAAATAAAAAAAAAGTATTCCGTATATTCTGATCATATCTCCTCAGCTTGTCCTCCAGGGTTGGGAGATCCAGTTCCTTTAGCCCATCCAGATAACCTAAACCTTCTTAGCTTTGGCAACAATCTTGGTGCACAGCTCTGTACTATTTACACTTTGGCTGAATGTCTTACAAGGCGGGTGTGGGGGGGGGGGGGGAAGACGGTGAGCCTGAGATACGAGAGATGTGTGAGGCAGCACGTGTGCCAACAGGTAGACAGTGGCACTGTGCCACTTGCTGGCGTGTGGGGGGAGGGGGGGGAGGGGGGGAGGGGGGGGAGGGGGGAGGGGGGGAGGGGGGGGGAGGGCTCCAGCCACAAGGGTAGTGCTGCTTGCTGATATAGCACCAAAGCATGTCTTTTTTATTCTCGTTTTCAGTGAAATTGTATAATATAATAATTTATTTAAATACTGGCAGGGTTCGCTTTATGTTCCTAATAAGAAGAACAGTCATGTGCGCATGCAAAACACACACACACACACACACACACCCCTAGCAAATACCCAACATGAGCTAATTAACTCCCGCTAAATACACGACGAAACGGCGACGTTGCGACAACGTTCGAACCAAATTGTAACAACCAAATATAGCAAGTTGTAACAACGTTCTAATACGTCATGAAAACGTTATAACAAGATGTAACAACCTTATTACAAGCTGTAAAACAAGGGAATCATTGGGACCGCAACGTTGTGTTTACAGGCCCCATCAGCAGAGAAAAATCAACCGTGAAAGGCATCCATCATACTATGAACTCTTTATTTCGAGCATTCCCTCGTCACTGATCAATCCAACTTTCCCAGAATTCTCAACCAAATTGTTAGGAATCGGTTGATGGAGAATGCCGAGTGTGAACCTTTTATTTGAATTCATGGAATGATTAGTTTGTAATTTGTTCTTGAAACTGTCTCATCATCCTAATTTTGTGATGAAAATTGTACCAATAACTATCTTACCGCTCTAATGGTACACGTATATATATATATATATATATATATATATATATATATATATATATATATATATATATATATATATATATATATATATATATATATATATATATATGTCGTACCTAATAGCCAGAACGCACTTCTCAGCCTACTATTCAAGGCCCGATTTGCCTAATAAGCCAAGTTTTCATGAATTAATGTTTTTTCGTCTACCTAACCTACCTAACCTAACCTAACCTAGCTTTTTTTGGCTACCTAACCTAACCTTACCTATAAATACAGGTTAGGTTAGGTTAGGTAGGGTTGGTTAGGTTCGGTCATATATCTACGTTAATTTTAACTCCAATAAAAAAAAATTGACCTCATACATAGAGAAAAGGGTTGCTTTATCATTGCATAAGAAAAAAATTATTGTAAATATATTAATTCAGGAAAACTTGGCTTATTAGGCAAATCGGGCCTTGAATAGTAGGCTGAGAAGTGAGTTCTGGCTACTAGGTACGACATATATATATATATATATATATATATATATATATATATATATATATATATATATATATATATATATTATATATATATATATATATATATATATATATATATATATATATTATATATATTATATATATATATATTATATATATTATATATATATATATATATATATATATATTATATATATTATATATATTATATATATTATATATATTATATATATATATATATATATATATATATATATATATATATATATATATATATATATATATATATATATATATATATATCTCCTGTCAATTTGAAGGCTAAATGTTAAATCTCTCTCTGGCCAAGATGTAAAGTTTGATTTACAGTGATGTTACACGTCACACAACAACCTCTCTTCTTACAAATTACGTCTGAATTTGTCCGTTTGCTCGTATGGCCGAAAATGGATGTAATTTGAAAATGAAAAAAATTAAAAATAAATTTTGGATTTTTTTTTTTTCCAAAACAGCAAGGGTCCTCTGGCAGGTTAGGTGGGCAGGAAATTCTCCTCAAGTTTCAAAACGTCATGAAAAATGTTAATTAAAAGTTTCTTCTCCTAACCTTACGAGTAAGCCGGAGAACTAACAGAAAACGGGACAGTACATCACTTTCGTGAGCCGATTTCATTTCAAGTACGTCCATTTTTGGGCCATAGCGCGCATACCAGCGAAAAGCAACGTTATTTTTAAGAGGACGGGTTTTTATTTATTATTTATTTATATATATACAAGAAGGTACATTTGGGGTTAAGAGAGAACATAGAAATTAAGTTGATTTTACATTCTTGTAAAGCCACTTGCACGCATAGCGTTTCGGGCAAGGGTTGCCCATTATCCTTATGCTCTCTATATCCCGTTACAGTTTCAGAGTCTGAATATGAAATCTGTAATGATGTTTCAATCACTGATAAATGTTGCTTCTAAATCTAAATCTTGAATATACAGCTTATAAATATATAGATATTCCATGTTGTTGTGACGTTTACTTGGGGTAAACAATTTACCGTAAATCTGGGTAGCCTAACCCAGATATAAATGTACAAACATTTATGAATAAAAAAATAGATTGAGTTATTATTACTAACCCGTTTTTATCTCCCCTTTGCCCTTTCCCTTAGTCCCTCCCATCCCCCCCTGGCACATTCCCTCCCCATATGGGCCCCATACTCTTCCGTTTCCGCCTTCCCTCACACCCTCCTCTCCTCCCATTACTATTCCCTTCTTCCTATCACCACGTAGATCGGTTATGAGAAACCCTCTCACCCTCCCACCTCCTGCCCATGACGCTATTTAGGGCGGGCCGCGTCACGCAGTTACAGACACGTATAGCAGACGTGTTCAGCAGGGGGCCAGTTCCCCCTCTGGTGATGCTCGGAGCTGGTGGGTAGCGGCCAGGAGCTGTGCCAAGTGGGTTAGGCGCCTCTGTCTGGGCAGACGGGGGCTCTGGGGAATGGAGACAGTAATTAATGGTATGATCTGTGTACTCGCCTACATGTACTCTGCCTAGATGCACTCGCAGAGTCGAGCTAGTCTTCTAGCCTTGCAATCCGCACGTTCTTAGATTAAGCAGGCGAGGAGTCACAATAACGTGCCTGAAGTATGTTGACCATTACACACAGATCCAGTAAGTTACCAGGGATCCAGTAACTTACTAGATCCCTGGACACAGGGATCCAGTAAGTTCAGCAGAACTTTGGTTTCAACCCTTTTACCCTGTCGTAGCTCAGTCGATTAAGGCAGTGTCTGGGATGCTCCCGGACGCAGGTTCGAATCCTCGTCACGGCCCTTGTGGATTTGTTCTTATGTTGACCAATCCACACACTAGAAAACGAAGGGACGACGACGTTTCGGTCCGTTCTAGACCATTCTCAAGTCTCAAGTCTTCTTAATGTAGTGACTGTTCCCACACTTTTGTATCTAGTTACTTTTAACAACTTCTACCCCTAACTTATTTCATCTATTGACGGCTCTTAAGTCCGAAAAGTTTCTTTCCGACGTGTTTAGACTCATTTGCGTCTAATTTCCATCTAAGCTCCCTCATTCTGTTGTTCCATAGCTGCCAACAGCGTCGCTTCATCTACTTTGACAGTTTCCATTAGTAGGTAGAGTGAGGTTAGCATGTCCTCGCCTCCAGTGTGGTAAGGGCCAGTTCTCTCAGTCTCTTCATAGGACAAACCCTCTAGCTCAGGAACGAAGACTCGTTACATATCTTTGGACCTTTTCTAGGCTTTACTTTTCCCCTTTTTAAGTGAAGTTCCATTCCAGGGACACATTGGTGTTTCTCACTCTGGACGTGTATAGGGCCCGGAAGGTACCTTTGTCCAGGTTCCTGAAGGATACACTGATGTTGGTCATTATATTGCTGTCGATATTCTGCTCGTGTGTGCTTTTTTTGGCAATAGATGTGAGGGTTATGTCTGCCACCAGGCATTTCTCCTCGGCTGATGCACGAACCTGTCTTCATTTCATCCTATACTGCTACAAAGATCTTCGCATTCCTGCTCCAAGCCTCATAATTTTGCATTTGGCTGCGTTAAATGCCAGAAGCTCTCTTTAAACCACTTCTGGAGCTTGTCCAGATCAATTAGCAAGGCCTCACGAT